CTAGGGATGAAGGCTCATCTATTAATTAGGACTCAAATCTTTAGTAGTGTCACTCCCTGAGCCTACACCCTGGACGTGGCCGGTACTCGAGAACCATTTCTGATCCCTAAGCGAACCCTTAGCTTGACTGACTATTTAGTGAAAGACTTACTCAAGAATGAAGAAGCTTTAAAATAGAACTTATAACATTCAAACTCAAGTAAATAGTTAACTCAACTATCGAAAAACACTTAGGTGCAATAATAATAATACTTTGCAAAATAATCTGTCACACCCCGAGCCTACATCCTAGACGTGGCCGACACTCGAGAACCATTGTTGGTCCCCAAGCGAACCCTCATCCTGGCTGACTACAAGCGGAAGACTAATTCAAACATACATAAGCATCAAATTTAAAGAAACGTTTTAAAACAGTGTAATAAATCTCAAAAGTTTGCTGAATATACTGAGTATGAAACATTAGTTTTAAATAAAGCATCTGAAACTGAAAGACTCTCCAAAATTGTTTACCTATGAAGACTCTAATGTACAAACATGAGTGTTGGGATAAGACACACGACTCCTCAAAAGAACTACTACTAACAACTCATAAAACTGGAGTCCTCCGAAAGAAATGAGGACTTACTCAAAAACTGGCGAGCAGACAAAGTGATCTCAACATACTCTTATTGAGGATCCTAAGAACATGTATATGCATCATTAAAAGATGTAGGTCGAATGACATCAGTACATTGAATGTACGAGTATGTAATATAGTTGAATAACAAATACTTGAATAAAAGGGTTGCATAGATATAGATATATACTCAACTGAATGTAAAGAAATAAAGAAGTTAAATCATTTAAAACTTTACAAAATACTTTCTCATCTCTGAACTCAACATAATAAGTGATATATAAAAATACACTTTAACTCTATTGGGAGAATCTCTAACCGAAAACAACTAGAAAGACACGCTTGATAAAAAGCTCCCAAACACAAAAATCGAGGAATGTCATAATCCAGTAGGGGCCCTCCCCTACGCTTTCGGTGATCCTTACGATCACTGGTTTCCACTCTTTTTTCTCTTCTTCTATCTTCCCTCTTTGTAATCGATGGAAGACATTATTTATTTTGTAGTTGGATTCAAAGCCTACGACATCTCAAGAACACTTGGTACGGCGGGAGCTTGGTACGACTGGACAGAGAGAAATAGGAAATCCGTTACGAGAACAAGTTTCAATGAGAAGACAATGGAATGGATCGTGCAGACATTGCGGGAGGCATCACTAACAAGTGGGAACACGGTGAAGAGATGGAAGAAGAAAGACAGTTTCTCAGAAGTTTTCTGCTCTAGGAACTACAATAAATACGGTCGCTACATCAGTCTAATAAATATGAGAGGCAGGAGGAGGGGAGTAATTATCATCCCTGAACTAGCATTCAATTCAGGGTGGTTGGGCATTGCGGAAAAGGTGGGGAGATTCATTAATAGTCACAAAAAGTTAGTGAGCTTGGGGAATCATAAGCTAGTGAATAGGGACATTCCATATGCTACAGTTCTAAAAAGCATTAAATGGGCTAACAAGGAGTCAAAAGTTGCAGAAAAGGAAAAGGTAGTCCTACAGGGAGAGAATCTTTGTTACAGATGATCCAGAGGAGCACAGCGAAGTGTTAAAGAGGAGTTTGGTGGGTGTATTGAACCCAGAGTCGGAGAAACAACGACTCTTGCAGAAATCAGGGGATGGGCCAATCGACTATGGAAACAAATACACAGTCTGAACATTTATGAAATGGGCAATGGGCTCTTCTTATTTGAGTTTGCACTTAGGGTCACAACAGAGCAAGTGATCGAAGGGGACTGGGAGTGGAGGAATAAGCCAGTTACCCTCCAATGGTGGAACCCAACGGTAGGTACGAAATGCGGGAGGGGTACAGAAAGCTCGACCTAGGTAAGAATTTTAGGGTTACCTTTGCAATTCTGGGACCAGAAAATTTTCAAGGCTATCGGAGATTTTTGCGGAGGGTGGGTAGAGACAGAAGAGGAAACCCAATTGAGAAATCATCTTAAGTGGGCAAGAATCAGAATCAAAGGAGATGGAGAAGACATACCCAAAGAGGTGACCATAGACGGGGGTGGCATATGCTATACGATGTAAATTTGGACCGAATCGCCGGTAAGGGTGGTCGCCGGAGAAGATCGGAACTCTGAAGTCATTACCCAGCGGATACAAGGCGGAGAACCATTGGGTAAAGACGAGAACCTCCTGCAAAGTCAAAAAGCAACAAACACAGCAGGTGAATCACGTGTTTTGACAGAAGAGCATGGGCAGATTTTGAAAATAAATAAAGGAGTGGGCCGGGGCGAGTCCAACTCAAAACAAAGCCCAGTTCAAAGGTTTGGGCCAGAGCAAACTAAAAAAAGGGGTCTTTTAAATAAAAAAACTTGACTTAATATGTGATAAGCAGGGGAGTTTTCTCGAAGGGTTAAAGGACATCAAGGAACTAGCGTCTCAGTTCCTGCATGCGTACAACAAAATGGAAAAAGCGAAGATGGTAGAGAACATCAACAACTCTGCAAATCAAAATTTTGGAGAGTCGATTAACCAAATGGAAGAGGCTGTTAAACCAACTCGCAATAAAGCAAAGGAGATCGACCAACCTAAGGATGTTGGGGAGAATTCAGGAGTACAAAAAATCGCCAGAAGAAGGCTTGCAAATTCAGCAGATTCATGATGTTGAGCCGGTATCCACATAAAGTCTTGGAGACCAGACAAATGCAGAGGTCGAAGCATCCAATTGGGTAAGTTCACATATTTTGGAACTTAGCAGAACTTACGGAGTGGCGTTTGAAGGTTTTAGGGGAGAAACACATACATTACTGATGAAGATTGATGAAAGAAAAAGAGGGATGGAGAAGATAGGGGAAAATAGTGAAGCAACAACTCCTCGACATAGAGGAATTGGCAAGAACGAGTTGAAGAATTTGCAATCAGATTTGAATGAGGAAGTTGAAGGTGTAAGGAACAGAGGGAGAGTCCAGCCACTATTTCTCAAATGAAAGTAAATATATTATCATGGAATGTTAGGGGGATTAACAAGATTTCAACAAGGAATCTAGTTAAGAGCTCTCTACTTAAATGGAGAGCTGATGTTTACTGCTTTCAGGAGACAAAAATCAGCAAAGATGTAGACATGATTGCCAAACAATTGTGGGCTAGCAGATGGATGAGGTGTGGGTATATCGAAGCCAATGGCAGCAGCGGGGGGGTCCTGATAATGTGGGATTCAAGAATTTGGGTGGGCAGTAGTGTAGAGGAAGGCAAATTCTCAATTACATACAAATTTGAAGCTGTCCAAGATGGGTTTTGCTGGTTTCTCACTGGTGTGTATGCCCCACACACTAGAACTAAAAAAATTAGAATGCTGGGAAGAAATTGCTGCAGTTAGGGAGCTAAGTGGAGGTCCGTGGGTTACCTGTGGGGACTTCAACACTGTTAGAACAATGGCCGAAAGAAGAGGATGCAGGAGAATAACCAATGTAATGACTGATTTCACGAGGTGGATAGAGGATATGGAGTTACATGATCCTTGCCTAAAGGGTGGGAGTTTCACTTGGTTCAGAGGGCCTAACCATCAAAGTGCTGCTAGGCTGGATAGGTTTCTCTACTCAACTGAGTGGGAAGAACAATTCAGAAACATTAGACAACAAATTATGCCTAGAGTTATATCTGACCACAGCCCCATTATGCTACAATGTGGCGACTGGGAACAAAAGAAGCCTTACTTTAAATTTGAAAATTGGTGGACTAATGTTGAGGGTTTCAAAGATTTAATTCAGGACTGGTGGAATGGTTTTGTTGTGAAAGGATGCCCAGACTTCAAACTTAGCAAGAAATTAAAGATGCTAAAGCAGAAACTCAAAGAATGGAGCGGTGTAACTTTTGGGGAACTCATCAACAAGAAAAACAAGTTACTAAATGAGCTAGCTAAGATAGATTTGATTCAGAACGACAGAATGCTGACAGAGGATGAGATGATTATTAGAGCAACGATCCTAGTTGAGCTAGAAGAGTTAGCAAAGAATAAAGAGTCCAGGTGGAGACAAAAATCCAAAGTATTATGGCTAAAGCAGGGAGATAATAATACCAAGTTCTTTCAAAGAGTGGCAACAACACATAGCAGATACAACACCATCGATAGACTGGTTATTAGCGGAGAGGAGAGTAAAGATCCGAAAGAAATAAAAAAGCATATAACAAAATTCTATAAGAAGCTATACATTGAGTCAGAAAGCTGGAGGCCACCTTTTGTGATGATGAACTGCCCCAAAATAAGTCAAGAGGAGCAAGAATGGATGCAGAGACCATTCTCAGAAGAGAAAGTGGTACACATCCTCAAATTGTGTGATGGGGATAAAGCTCCTGGCCCAGATGGTTTCACCATGTGTTTCTTCAAGGAATGCTGGGTGATCATAAAGGATGATGTGATGCAAACAATTCATAACTTCCACCAGAATGAAGTGTTTGAAAGATCCTTGAATGCCACATTTGTGGCATTAATCCCTAAGAAGTATGGAGCAGAGGAACTCAAGGATTTTAGGCCAATAAGTCTGATTGGTGGAATGTACAAAATCATTGCTAAGTTGATCACTGAAAGAATGAAAACAGTTATGGGGAGACTGATTAACGAGCATCAAATGGCCTTTTTGAAGGATAGACAGATAATATATGCTTCTTTATTGGCTAATGAGTTGGTCGACTCCAGGGTAAAGCAAAGATACCAGGTATTCTATGCAAATTGGACATAGAGAAGGCATATGACCATGTAAATTAGAACTACCTATTTAAAGTTCTGAGTGACATGGGGTTTGGGAGGAAATGGGTGAATTGGATCAAGTTTTGTGTGTCAACAGTGAAATTCTCAATCATTATAAATGGGAGTCCAGAAGGTTTCTTTCAATCACAAAGGGGACTGAGACAAGGAGATCTCATGTCCCCTTTCTTATTCCTTTCTAGCAATGGAGGGACTTAACTACATGGTTAGAAAGACTAATGAATTGGGGTGGATAAGAGGCTTTGGTGCATATACTAACAGAGCTAATAACATGGAGATTACACATCTACTGTATGCAGATGATTCTCTTGTGTTCTGTGGTGTAGAAGTGTCACAAATTAGGCATCTGAGGGCAATACTAACCATATTTGAAGCCATCTCAGGTCTACATGTGAACTGGCAGAAGAGTTGCTTATTTCCAGTTAATCAAGTCAATAATATGCAAGGCCTATCCGACAACTTGGGCTGCCAAGTGGCCTCTCTTCCCACCAAATATTTGGGGATGCCCTTGGGAGCCAAGAACAAAGAATTGGAAGTATGGAGTGAAGTCTTGGAGAGAAGTGAAAGGAAGCTGACAAGGTGGAAGAGTCAATATTTATCTCTGGGAGGTAGAGTGACTCTCATTAAATCAGTTCTGGATGCCCTCCCAACTTATATGCTAAGTCGTTTTCCACTACCAAAAAGTATTGGAAAGAAACTCAACAAGTTGAGAAGGGTGTTCCTCTGGCAAGGGAACAAAGAGAAGCAAGGATACAACTTGGTTAAATGGGAAGAGGTGATAATGAGCAAAGTACAAGGAGGTCTGGGCATTAAGAATTTAAGTATTCAAAACACTAGTTTGCTGCAAAAATGGTTGTGGACATTCTGTTGCGAAGATACATCATTATGGAGGAGGTTCATAGCTGAGAAATATGGCCTACATAGTAATTGGATAACTGAAGAGGTGAATGGTACTTTTGGGTGCTCAGTATGGAAAACTATTAGGAGAATGTGGACTGACTTCAATGCGCAGGTGACTTTCAAAGTGGGGAATGGCCTGAAGATTAGTTTCTGGAATGAGATTTGGTTAGGCGATGTGAAAATGAGGATACTCTTTCCTGACTTGTACATCATCAGCCTACAACAGAATGACACTACAACGCAGATGTGGAGTCCTCAAGGCTGGAATCTTATATTTAGAAGGGCTCTAAATGATTGGGAGGTTGAAAGAGTAGTAGACTTACTCCAGACCTTGAACCTGTTCCTTGGCATCAATGCAGAGTCCGACAAACCAGTTTGGAAATGCATAGTAGTGGAGTTTTTACAGTAAAGTCTTGTTACTGGGAAAGAAACACCAACCACTCTTTGACAACATTTTGGCCCTGGAAATTAATATGGAAGATTAAGATCCCTCTAAAAGTTGTTTGCTTCACTTGGTTGGTAATTAGAAGAGCTTGTCTAACACACGAAGTGCTACAAAGAAGAGGTTTACAGATCTGTTCAAGGTGCTTTATGTGTGAACAAGAGGCTGAAGAAAATGGCCATTTATTTTTGCACTGCAGGATGACTGCAGATCTGTGGAACATGTTCATTTGTATACCCGGGGTTAAATGGACAATGCCCAGAACCACTTTTGAGGTACTAACACGCTGGCAAGGAATTGGGAAGAGAGGATCAAAGGGAGATTGGTGGAAAAATGTACCTGCTTGCATTTGGTGGACACTATGGAAAGAAAGGAATGGAAGGTGCTTTGAAGGGAGGACTAGCAGTTCCCAGACGATCAAGATGAGATGCCTTAGTCTTTTGTTTTTTTGGTGTAAACAAGATTTAGTTAGGGAAGCAGATAGTTTAATAGAGTTTATAGGACAATTGTAAATTTTTGAAAATTTGGTTTTGGATTTGAGAATGATGGCACCCCCGGGGGGTTTGTAAATCCCTCCTCATCAATTTCTTGATGAGGTCTTTTGTGTTAATACAAAGTTACCTATTTCAAAAAAAAAAATCTCTAACCGACAACCATCACTATGAGCTAGGTGATGATACAACGTCTCACCCACGCTGCCAAAACTGTCATATACCTTGTCGGAGTATAGAACGTCTCAACTAAGTGGATCACTAACCTATGCTTAAAAGCAATAAGGAATCATCCAAAAAATATGATTTTTTATCCATGTTGACATATATGGTTTATGAGAATTTTGAGTTGTCTGAACTCATCTCCATAGCGGTGCTCAATACTACTCCCAATAATATATATAATTCATCTTCATATGTTTAAAATCATAACTCTTCCTCTGATTTGAGATAATTGCTCAAACTACCCTCTTGAAAGAGGTAACTCTCTTAAAATATCTTTTGAACTCATAACTCATTTAGAAATCTCAGTTTCTCTTTTATCAATGTAAAAATTGATACCTCTGGAATACATAGTCCCCTTATACTCCTACTCAATTTATACTTGAAAACTCTTTCTCAAAAACATATCAAAATCATAATTTAATATGATCATTGATGACTCGGAAAGTCATACTGCATAAACATTGATGGTATATATAGGTAACATACTGCTCATACATTGATGTCATACTTGATTGTCATACTAATATGTTTTAGAAACTCTTTTCTCAAAACTCAGTTTAAGAACTCAAGTGTTGGCTTTAAAAAGCTTTTCAAAATTTGTAACTCAAATCACATGAATGACTCAACTCAGGGATCTTAATAGCAATAAGGAAACTCAGTACTCAGAACTCAAGACTCAAGAACTCAAGGACTCAAGAATTTGAAACTTATAACTCAATGATATTTCTCCTCTAAAAAATACTCAATTCATAGGGTTCATGATGGAATATAAACATGAACGAATCAACTCAAGAATTTTAATGCATTACATATAGCAATTCAATAATTAGGAATAGAATTTCAAAAAGAAACAAGAACTCTAGAACTCAAATCAACTTATCTCAAGAATACTCAAATCTAGGGATAGAATCCTAGATTACTCTTTTACTAATTTGAAAGTAGATATAGGGCGTAAGGACGAACTAGTCCAACACTATGATAGCCATACATACTTGGAAGAACAAGATTCTTGAAGAATCTTGAAGTAAAACTTGATGAAAAGCCTTGAAATCCTAGCTTGAAGGAGAACAATCAAGAAAACATTTCTTGAGATTCTTGAATTAGTTTCTTGAAATTTCTATGACAAAAAATTATGATTTTCATTAGTGATTTATAATTGTACGGAGGAATTTGAGTCGAAAAGAATAAAATTCTTGAAAAAAGACTTATCTTGAAGTAGAATCTTGAAAAAGATTGAAGGAATCTTGAATGAAGTCTTCTACTTTGACTTTTTCTTAGGGATTGAGCGAGAAGAGAATGATTGATTAAGAGATGAAAATCTGATTGTTTTGGGTCTTTAATTAGTCAAAAAATTCGTTTAGGATTTTATTAGAGGTAAAAAGACAAAAACGACCCTTTTTAATATTTTCCCGTCGGCTAATACGGCACTGCACTGTATCATGTTACTAAAATGGTCATAACTTTTTACTCAAAGCTCGGATTGTTGCAAAATTGGTCGCGTTGAAAATAAGATTCAAATACCTTTAGTTTAATAGGTTATGGGCCACATAAATCTTTTTACTCTAAGAGATATGGTCGTTTAAAGTTGATCCAAATAAAATCTTACTTCAAAACTTATCGATAAGGAAACTATCAACTCAACTTTGTGCTAGGAGTTTTTTAGTGACCTTAATTGATATCCAAAATCATTCCACACTAAGAAATTTACCTTTACAGATATGGACAATTTAAAAATCACCTGATATGACCTTACATGTATATGAAGAATAGTTTGGGTCTCAACTTAGAAATTTTTGGGGTGCTACAATATCTCCCTCTGGGATCATTCTTCCTTGAATGATGGTTAAACTGAGAATGGAGGGGAAAATAGTTACTATCACTATCTCTCTTGACTTCTGAGCACATATGTCACGAACGATATGAGTTTGAACATAATCACACTCTATATGAAATTATTTTACATAAAGCTAGAATATCTTGACACGAAGTAAGAATAGGAATATTATGCCTTGAGTGATATGATTGGTAACTTTCAAGCTTAGCAGCACTTCTCAACTATGCTCTGCGTTCTGATTGCTACACTTCATTAGCTGCAACACTTAGCTTCCACTAGAGTATATGACTACTCTTACAAATGTCTAAGTCAAATCGATTGCTCTTATTATGTTCAAGCCCAATCTCTAATTCACAAGGTGCTAAGCATGATGTGGTTATACTTATCTAAACCACAAGATCCAGGTTTTATATCTCTATAGGAATCTCAGCCCTAGAATACCTCTCATTATAGCTGCATTCAACCCATAGCCCATATCAAGAACACCTAATACATCATGCATTTGTCCACATGTTACCAACACAACATTCAAGCCTAGTACTATAACCACTCCATGAAATCCTACTAACCAATCCTTATAAGAATTCTTTATTCTCTCGTCACTTCTACCAACTGAACTTTCATGCATTACTATCAGGAACTGACTTATTACTCGTTGTAAAACCTTATCTCCTTTTTTCTCCACATTTATAACCTTAGATGGGATAAACACACCATCACTATGACAACAAGAAAATAGCAATCCTTTTCTCTGTTATCACACAATTACTATCAACTACACCACTCTCAAAACTAAAAAGGATCACTGAAAGAGCTTTAGGGCGAGAGATCATAGGCACGATTCATTTGAGAGTTCTGATATAAGAATATGCATGACATAACATTATTTTGGTAGCCATTAGGATCAAATCATGAATTTGCGAGACTGAGCGTACTATGAGACAAAAGTGTGTATATAAATATGCTCATATCATGAGGCTAATATCCATAACTTTATGGAGTAAGATTGAGATCAATGGCTGAAGTCTTTGCCCCTCATTCTGAAAAATGAGCATAGATGTGAATCTCTCTTAAATGTATGAGCATAGGTCATGAACACAATTCTGATATAAGAAACATCATCATGATGTTGAAATAACTGAACTTTGAGGAATACGCTAGAGTATGAATGGATTTATGTACCTCTACAACTCTTTCGAAAGACATAACTATCTCATTCTCAACATTTAACTTGATTTCTCATCTTATCATCTCCTCCTTAAGTCTAAAACTGACACTTGAAAATAATGGACCTATTCCCTCATCTCTAAACTGGTCTACATTCCCTTTAATACTCTGAAAGGCTAATCTCGTGGCTATGAAACTCTCCATAAGCAGGTACTAAGACTCTTCCCAAGACCTATTTCTAAGATGCTTCTATTAACATGTTCTTATTGGCCTATAAGGTCATCTCATTTAACTCTTAAGGAGAAAAAAAATAATGCTTACCTCAGCCTATTCCACATTGACAGCTTAAATATACTATCTAGGCGCACATGAAAAATCATTAACTTAATTGGAACATCGTCAATCTCGATACACCTCTTAATTCTCTTGTTGCTCTTACGACTTAGCCACACTTCACTACCCTTATTTAAAAGTTAGGATCTCTCACTTGTACCACTCATATTTATTGCAGCTAACATCTCAATTCCTCACTTACTCTATATCAAGTCTACCAGATCAGATCTTCAAGACTATCATCATCACCCTCATGTTGTCATTATTTTGATTACGACGCTCATATCAAAGTCAAGCTTAATGTTTATTACTAATCCAGATATCAATATAACTTCTCACATACTATAATAATTTATGAATACTAGATAAAATTAAGAAACACTCGTCCACTAAGATCTCATGACAAGTAGTCAATCTTTACCTCTCAGTCTTTAGACTTACAGTTTATCGTCACACTTCCTTTCACAACCTAAGTGCTATTTACTCATTTTCTATACATCATTGTCTAATTAGTTCTATAATTTGAATATTATGGGCTTTCCTTTAAAGATCATAAGTCTAGCTTAGAGCTATCACCTCATGAATACTCATACTATTCTATTCAACACCTACACTTGGTCATTACTAACACAATGACACATAATCATAACCTCCTTTCTAGTTAAAGTATACTCTAACTCATCCTAACTAGTAACTACTCCTCTACCTTCTATCATAAACTCTATACAAAATTATTACTTCTTAGTCTACCCATATGGAAAAACTCTTCATTAATAACCTACTGGTGCATGACTATAATAACATAGCGTGCCTCATGACTATCTCCATTTCTTAGATTACTGAACCTCTGCATGCATTCTTCTAACTTTGGGCACTCTTACTACTACTGCTTATAATCTCATAACTCATACTATCTTTTTAGGTAAAAATACTACCCAAGCTCCAAAACACACTTTCGTATAAGGGTCTCAACTGAAACAAGGTTTAGAGAAAAGAGTCTGGGAATATATCTCATTTTTAGCTCGAACGCACGATTCATATGAATAAGAGTACATTCTTTTGAATCTCAAGACTTAAGCTCACTCATGGGCTTCTCTTAAGCCCTCTATAGTCTCATGACTTTCTCAATACTTTTGCTGAGAGTAACTCATCGATAATGAATTGACTTTAATTTTCAACTACCTTGAATATGGGGGATAGTCGAATGAATCTGAGAAATGCACGAGTTTTGAATAAGTTCCTTATGACATTGCTTTACTGCTCGATTTTAGAGTATGAAAGAAGGAAAACTTTTTCTAAATGTTGTAGTCTATCATTTATAAAAGTGAGGCCCTCACAATCATAAAGAAGATCCTACTTGACACGACTTCATAGGCACCTTAGGACACTTGAACTCTGTGCTCTGATATCAAGTTTGTCACTCCCCAAGCCTACACCTTAGACATGACCGACACTCGAGAACCATTGTTGGTTCCCAAGCGAACCCTCATCCTGACTGAAGTCAAACATTCATAAGCATCAAATTTAAAGAAATATTTTAAAACAATGTAATAAATCTCAAAACTTTGCTAAATGTACTAAGTATAAAACATTAGTTTTAAATAAAACATTTGAAACTGAAAAACTCTCCAAAACTGTCTATCTATGAAGTCTCTACTGTACAACATGAGTTTTGGGATAAGACCAACGACTCTACAAAAGAACTACTACTAACAACTCATAAAACTGGAGTCCTTTCAAAGAAATGAGATCTTACTCAAAAGCTGGTGAGAAGACGAAGTGATCTCAACGGACTCTTGTTGAGGATCCTAAGAACCTGTATCTGCATCATTAAAATATGTAGGTCGAATGACATCAGTACATTGAATGTACAAATATGTAATATAACTAAATAACAAATAACTGAATGAAATGACTACATATATATATATATATGAATGTAAAGAAATAAAAAAGTTTAATCATTTAAAACTTTACAAAATACTTTCTCATCTTTGAACTCAACATAATAAGTGATATATAAAAATACACTTTAACTCTATTGGGAGAATCTTTAACCGACAACTATCACTCTGAGCTACGTTATGATACAATGTCTCGCTCACGCTACCAGAACTGTCTTATACTTTGCCGAAGTATATAACACATCAACTAAGTGGATCCACTAAGCTATGCGTAAAAGCAATAAGAAATTATCTAAAAAATATGATCATTTACCTATGTTGACATACATGATTTATGAGAATTTTGAGTTGTCTAAACTCATCCCCATATCAATGTTCAATATTACTCCCAATAATATATATAACTCATCATCATATGTTTAAAAAACATAACTCTTCCTCTTGTCTGAGATAATTGATCAAACTACCCTCTTAAAAGAGGTAGCTCTCTTGAAATATCTTTTGAACTCATAACTTATTTAGATATCTCAGTTTCTTTTTTATCAATGTAAAAATTGATGTTGACATCCTTTTGAGAGGGCGCAACGTCGCAGTGACTCAATTAAGAAATAGTTAATCAATTTAAAAATAGAATTAAAATTTTTTTAAAAAGGGGTAAAAGAGAGTCGTCACTTAATTTTAGGAAAACTAGGAAACCAATTAATTAACTTAAAAGAATGTCTACGAAACCAATTGATTCTAGATAAGGAGTTCAAGTTATTCTGAAGGGAAGGTGTTAGGCATCTTTCGAAATCCACAATTGTGAATCCCAACTAAATTCAATTTTTTCAAATTGAGGAGGAGATAAAAATAAGATACAAGTATAATAAACATGCGATATACACAAATAATAAAATAAAATAATAAAATAAGAAACGACCTAAGTTTGCCTAACGTCAATATATACAAAATAATGAATAAAAAATATAACTCGAACTTCATTCAAATAGCTTCAATGAGAAGCAACTATGTGTACCTGTAAAGACACTTAGTAAAAGTGTTAGTAATAAATAAATATGAATAAATCAAATAATAATTTAAAAATAAAAACTCATCTTATTAACGTGGGAGACCTTGAAAATTGACGGTAATTTCTTCATCGGCCATTTTAACAAACAAAAATATGAACTTAAACTAGATTTTCGTATTTTAACATTGTGGATGCCTCCAACATCGACGAAGAAATTTTCTCATTGATCATTTTAACATTAAATTAGTCAATATCATAATAAGGTTAACAACAAAAAAATTCATTTAAACAAGAGCAACTAAACAACTTATAGAAAAATAAACCAAAACTATCCAGATTAGTCCACTAATAACATCAATAATATAACAAATGGAATTATTAACAAATACCAAAGAAAAAATATTAGGAGTAACAAAAATAGTGAGTAAATGATGTAACAATTCAACTTTAAGCATAAAAATAACTTGAGAAAGTTCAATAATGCACAGGGATAATTTCATAATAGAGAATATCAACTAAAAATTGAAATGTAACGATAGTTAGGGAAATAAATAAACACATAATTGAATTAAACTTATAACAAATTTAAAATATTCAAAAATAACAAGTCAAAACAAAAATGAAATACAACTGTAAATTCAATGTAAATGATAACAAAATGGTCAACTTCAGCGCAAAATTAAACATAGTAATTAAATGTAACAATATTAATTTCAAACTAAGCAACGAGCAAATCAAAATAGAGTAGCCATAGAAAATAATCTACAATCAATCCTAAAGAGGGCAACCAAAAATAGAGATCAATAAATAACATAACAGAGGAAGTATTAACTAAAATATTAAGCGGATATGAACCAAAACAAAACAAATGAAAAAATTTACCGGAGAACCATGAATCCGGCCAGATTTGAAGTTCACTAGTGATTGGGGCTTTCAATTTGTCATAGCTCATCGAAGCTTAGGCTCACCGGAGCTTGAAGCTGTTGTTATTGGTGTTTCCTGGTGAAGCTGTTTGAGTTGAATCTGGGTGGAGCTGGAAAGGGGTCTTTTGAGTTGCTCTCGGTGGCTCGCCGGAGCGAGGAAGAGGAGAAATGAAACGGTGGTGGGCTGGTTCGCTGTTGTGTTTGCGGTGGTTTTGGTTGTAGCCTGAAATGGCAACGGAAAACAGAGAAGTTTGGCTGTTTCGAGACTGGTTCTGGGTGATTTAGGGTGAAGGTTTGCTGGTGGGTTTGGGTCAGAGAAGAAAGGGAAAATGGAGAGAAATGGGGGTCGTTTGGGTCTGGTTGGAGGTTGTTTGTGAGCTGTTGTTCTGGTTGTGTGAGCTGCTGGTGGAGCTTCGGCGGTGGCTAGTTTGGATCGGCTGTTTTGGAAGATGAAAGAGGAAGAATGGCGTTGTTGTTTGCTGCTGGAAAAGGGAGAAAAACAACGAGAAAGGAAAGGCTGCGGGTCTGGTTGTTTGAGATGGAAAATGGAGCTGCTTATTGCCAAAACTCATGGCTGTTGGTCGAAAAAATGGTAGTTTCCACTGGAAAAAAGGGAAAACAAAAGGGGTTTTTGGTGGTGGACTCGCCAGATTTCGGTGGTGGACTCGCCAGATTTCGATAGAACTCTAGTGAACTTGTCACAGGAAAATAATGAACAGTAAAAGGATAAAAATTCTGAAAATTTTCTCTAAATTCGAGAGAAGATCCAAAATATTTTCTCATCTTTGAGTTAAAATTCAAAATCATCATTGAATTTTCACATGAAGTACTAATAGTCTATCATGTTTGCAATATTGATGCACTTTTGGTCCTCCCTTAAACTTTTGCCTATTTTTTTACATATTTTGTTCATAGTTTTATGTAAGGAATGTCCCATCGTCTTATTATATATTTAGTAGAAATAATAACTTTATGTAAGAGAAGGTGAAAAAAAGAATATCTTGTTCTGTTCAGTATAAATATTACTGCAGCTAAACTAAGAATATTTTAACGTATAACATTGCAAGAAAAGAAAATTTTGTACTATTGCACGTGAAATCATCGTGATGAACCTCTCGACTTTACCTGCAATACGATTTCTACTAAACAAACAAGGTATTTTTCTTCTCACAATCTCTCACATGGAGGTATTATTTGTTCTAAATATATAAAATGACGATTAAACATTTCATACATAAATTATGAATAAAATCAATGTTAAAAAACATTAGGCAAAATTTTGAAGGAGGACCAAAAGTTTATCAATATTGCAAACATGAGAGACTATTAATGCTCCATGTAAAATCTCAAGGATGACTTTGAGTCTTAACACAAAGATGAGAGACTATTTTGGGCCTTCTCTCCCTAAATTCTTATCCACCACCCCTTAACTTAATGAACAAACTATTCTTTAAATAGGGAATTGAAAACCACCAATAGTACAATATCACTATCTTAAAATCGTGGGTCAAAATAATCGGTTAATAAAATATCTGTGTATGAAATCTTATCTATATCAGAATGAATTTCTGGACTGTGCAAAATATCAAAATAAATATTAATAAATCTAACAGATAAAATGAATATGAAAGAAAAAATAAAATAAAAAATGTAATGAACGTAACCAATGACATGTTAAAAATGTAATTTAACAGAAATAATGATTTTATAAAAAAATGAACGAATATTTGAACGTATTGAATTGGCTGTGACAAAATAATATAAACAGAATTAACCGACAAAAATCCTAATACTTTGAGAATAAGGATAATTATCAACAAATTGCATTAAAATGTCAAAACATTTATTTTGAACTATTTAAAAAATAAAATACTTAAAAAATATTAACTTTAGAAATATCATACCAAAATTTGGTGTCAACAATTGATACATCTGGAATACAGAGTCCCCTTATACTCTTACTCAATTCATACTTGAAAACTCTTTCTAAAAAACATATCAAAATCATATTTTAATATGATCATTGATGACTCGGGAAGTCATACTGCATAAACATCGATAGTATATCTAGATACCATCCTGCTCATATATTGATGGCATACTCGATTGTCATACTAATATGTTTTCGAAACTCTTTTCTCAAAACTCATATTTACTTTCTCAAAACTCAGTTTAAGAACTCAAGTGTTGACTTTAAAAAGCTTTTCAAATTTATAACTCAAATCATAGGGTTCATATGGAATTATGGACATAAATGACTCAACTCAGGGATCTTAATAGCAATAAGGAAACTCAGCACTCAAAACTCAAGGACTCATGAACTCGAAACTCATAACTCAACGATATTTCTCCTCTAAAAAATACTCAATTTATATGGTTCATGCTGAAATATAGACATGAACGAATCAACTCAAAAATTTTAATGCATAACATATAGCAATTAAAAAATAATCAGGAATAGAATTTCAAAAAGAAACAGGAACTCAAGAACTCAAATCAACTTATCTCAAAAATACTCAAATCTAGGGATAGAATCCTAGATTACTCTTTCACTAATTTGAAAGTAAATGCATGATGTGAGGACGAACTAGTCCAACACTATGATAGCCTTACATACAGAACAAGATTCTTGAAGAATCTTGAAAAAGAACTTGATTAAAAGCCTTGAAACCTTAGCTTGAAGGAGAACAATCAAGAAAACTTTTTTTGAGATTCTTGAATTAGTATCTTGAAATATCTATGGCCAAAAAAATATGATTTTCATTAGTGATTTATAATTGTATGGAGGAATTGGAGTTGGAAAGAATGAAATTCTTAGAGAAAGACTTACCTTGAAGAAAAATCTTGAAAAAGATTGAAAGAATCTTGAATTGAGTCTTCTATTTTGATTTTTCCTTAGGGTTTGAGAGAGAAGAGAATGATGGATTAAGAGATGAAAATCTGATTGTTTTGGTTCTTTAATTAGTCAAGAAATTCATTTAAGGTTTTCTTAGAGGTAAAAAGACAAAAAACGACATTTTTTAATGTTTTCCCGTTGGCTAATTCGTCACTACATTGTATCAGGTTACTAAAATTGTCATAACTTTTTACTCAAAACTCGGATTGTTGCAAAATTGGTAGCGTTGAAAAGAAAATTCAAATACCTTTAATTTGATAGTTTATGGGTCACGTAAATCTTTATATTTTAAGAGATATGGTTGTTTAAAGTTGACCCAAGTAAAATCTTATATCAAAACTTAATCGGTAAGGAAACTTTCAACTCAACTTTGTGCTAGGAGTTTTCTTAGTGACCTTAATTGATATAAAAAATCATTCCCACACTAAGAAATTTTCTTAGGGTTTTTCCTTGGTAAAATGGTCATAACTTTTTACTCCAACCATGAAATGAGGCAAACTTGGTGTCATTGGAAAGAGGATTCAAAGACCTTTAATTTGGTAGGTCATAGGCCACATAATTCATTATGTTCTGGGAGATATGATTGTTTGAAGTTGACCTGAGTAGAATCTTATGTCAAAAATTAATCGGAAATGAAGATTTCAACTCAACTTTGTGCTAGGGGGTTCTTGTGACCTTAAGTCATATCCAAATCCATTCGAACACCAAAGAAATGACCTTTACACATGTGAGTAACTTATGGATCACCCGATTCATTGTTACAGTAAATTAAAGAATGATTCGGGTCTTAGTTAGAAACTTTTGAGGTGTTACAAGTAGCAATTTCTAAGTCTCAGAACTACGTGTCATCGTAGGTTTATACAGATCACCCATTAGACTAGGACAAACTCCTTAGTCCTTTATGGACATTATCATAGTGATACCACATTAGCTCATGTTAGTATCTTACCTGAAAAGATATATTGGGCCATTTTGATGGGGATTATACATTGACTCCATGTCTAGATCAAATGATTATATGTTATTGATTTATTGCTATGGAGTTACTGGGTTAACAAATTTTTAAAGTTTTATTAGAAAAAATTATCGACTTATCGGTTCAGTTTTATTTTTTTAATATTGGCTTACTAGGTAAACTGATAATCCATTAAGACTGTAGTAATTTACTACTTTACCTCAACATAAATATTAAATATCAATCTCAGTACCTTACTAGTTACTGTCTTTGGCCTTTAGTCTTCAATATATACTTCACACAGCCGTTGAGTTTACAACTTCACATTATACAAAACGTCAAAACTTAAAGTAAGAATCCTATTCCTGTTAATTTCTTTTTGTGTTGCACTTGTATAGTTTTTATCATTTTAGTTATTACTATTTCTATTTTATGAGTGTTCTGTAAAGTTATATTATTGTATTATCGCGTCAAATTGTTGGAGAAGTCATATATTTATTTTAGAAGCAGTTTCTTATTGGTTAAATCGAAAATCAACCCGTTAAGGACCAAAACCGATAAATCAAAAACCGCAAAAAAAATATTTTATTGGTTTGGCTATTTTAAAGTCGAAAACTGATAAACCAAATCAATATTAACAAAATCGAACCAAACTGACTTATGCACACCCCCAATTTATGAAAGGCTGCAGACAAGAGCTAGGAATATTAATCTTCGTCAAATCCAGACCTGTACCTAAATTATTTGAAGTTGTTGCGCTATAGTGGAATATGTCACTAGTATATCTCTTTTCTAGGCATAAGAAGACCTGGTTCACTTTAAGATTGCAAGTAACGGATGCTTACCATCCGAGCAACTCTCTTTTATTTTTCGGAAAGTATCAAAACCTCTTTTGCAAAAGAAAAAAGAGAGATATAAATAACGTAACTAATAACTTAAACTGGTGATTTATTGGCGTTTGGTAAAACGAAAGTAGCGTATTTTCATGATCACAAGCATCAATAATAAAATGTTGATGCTGACATGCTATTTCTTAATGGACATAACAATTATATATATTAAATTAACAAGTTCCATTTGCTCCTGAATATGAACATTTTAATGAAGTGATGTCTTGATATTGACAAGAAACTAACTTCCCTTCAACTTAACAAGCACATTTATATATTCCCTCAATCACAATATGTATGTGCTTGAGTAACTTCTCTATATGACTATATATATAGATATAAATATTAATCATTGAAACTATTTCTTTTCATTAAGAAATTTAAAAATAAAACGAAATAAGTCTTATTATACTATCAACGAGCTTGATAAAAATTAACTGCCCCAGTGATCATGCACTAAGCAATTATGGCATGATATTTGTATTCACCTATGGTTTATAACTTAAAGCATAACTATTTAATTTATATCTTTATCAAAA